CTGGGCCCTGTGAGGCTGCTGATGGGACCAGACCTTAGGTAGCACCTCAGACTTTTTTGGGGAGGTGTCTACATGCCTAGACATCACCCCACTGTGTCTTCCTCACTGTGATATGGGCCGGACTGTATCTGTGGCTCAGTTAAGAGAAGAGGAAACCTCTGGGCCAGAGGCTCAGGAATAAAGTGATTCACTCAAGGCCTAAGTGCACCAGCTGGGTCCAGGTAACCTCAAGGTGTGCTGAGGGCCTGGACGCTGGCCTCTGACCTCAGAGAACCCTGATGGGCCTCCCTTCAGCCATGGGTTGGGGGAGAAATCACTGGCGGGCGCCGAGCCTGGGGCTGCTGAGGCTGGGCTCCTCAGAGAGCTTCTGCCTGTCAGGTCACGGGCAGGGGCCAGGGGGCAGAGCCCCCAGGAACTGCCTGACAGCCATCCCTGCCCAGGGAACAGCTGTGGCTGGGAGAGCCGAGAAGGGTGCTTGTGTCTAACCAAGGGGAGAACGTTCCGTGAGAGTGGAGGAACGGCGTGGCGCGAGGAGATGGAGGTCCTCGGAGCCCCCCGGCAGATTACTGTGACCTTGGACAGGCCGCTGGGCCCGACCCCTCACACCCCTCACCTGTGAAGCGGGGAAGATGCGGCAGGTCTCACAGGACTGTCGAGAGCCACAGGAGGAAACGGGTGCGTCTGCGGCGGGCCCGCTGTGACCCGCTGATCAGCGGGAGTTACTGGTGTCACTAAGAAGGACAGAGAGAGGACAGACACGAGGACCCTCTGTCTTGAACACAGGTGTTTGTTCATCAGCTGCACAGAGTCTCAACCTTTGGAAACTGTGAAGCACTGGACACGTGGAAGGGATCCGCAGGAGGCCTGAGAATCCAGATGGGATCTGTCACGAGATGGGGGACCTGTGTCCTCGGAGCTGGCCACTCCCCCACGGGGCCTCGGTCGGCAGATGTTCAGCAGGGAAGCTGGAACCAGATGTGCCCAAGGTCCCCCCAGAAAGGAAGGGCAGTGAGACCCGGGGGCAAAAATATCCGTGCGCACGGAGCTTCCCCGCCCAGCTCCTTTTCTATCTAAGGATCGTTTAGGCTTAATTATAGAGCGCGGGCGCTCATTGCGTGTTCAATTAATTTTCCTTTCAGCCCGAGGACGGGTGCGTGTGGTGGGCCGCGTGCGCCTGTCGACATCTCTCTGCAGCTCAGCTGGGGGCTCCGGCAGCGCTCACTGGTGCCCTGGGCTCTAACAAGGGCACCGCACGAGCCGGCCAGGTTCGAGAGGTCGTTGTGGGCGCTGCCTCCGCCCTGTGGGCCACCCCTGCTGTGAAGCCAGAGGGCAGGGGCTCGGCCTCGCTCAGCAGGGACCGCAGCTTCGGGGGTGGCACAGCTGCCTCCTCACGGCGCTCACGGTGCTCATGGTGCTGCCGGGACGCCACGGCCCGCAGAGCAGATCTGCTCGCCCCCTAATCACCAGCTGGGAGCTGCCAGCGGCAGGCCATTCACCCACATGGCCCCCAACAGACGTGCTTCCTGGCCAGCCCCCCAGGCTTACAGGGCTCTCTGCCTCGGAAGACAGTGTTCCCCTCTCACTTGAACACGTCCTTGAAGCTGCCTGGGAGGGCCTGTGTGGCTGTGTGGGGGCGAATGGCTGCTTCCTCCTTCGCTTCCCCTCCTTTGTGGCCTCCTGGCTGGGGCCCTGGGGGCAGCCCAGGACCTAGAAGGACAGGGACTTGGAGCCAAATGGCCCGGCTACAGCCTCAGCCCCCAGCCCCTGATGTTTTCTCTGTGTGTCCCTGAACGAGTCGCTTAACCTCTCTGTTGCTCCATGTGGTGCTGGTGACACAGGAGTGTTGGTGACAAGGTCATTCTCCTCGGAGACTGTCCGGGGGTGAGAAAACGCATATGGCAGCCTTTGGTGAGACGTGAATCACAGCGCTTTTATTGTCGTGCCCAGGACCGCTGCCGAGAACATGGCCGTGACCTGAGAGACCCCATTCCCGGCACCAGGACAGGAGGAGTCATACAGAGGCCCGGGGCTGGGACGGGAGAGGGGACCCGCCGCCAGCCTCCTTGGTGCTGTGGGCCAACTCTGGCACCCAGGGGTGAGAAACGCATGCCACACGGGGGCGGATGGGCGGTGGGTCAGTCTCAAGACAGCGGTCACAGGTCACAGGGAGTTTGGAACACTGTTTTTGGCATAATTGTAATGAGGCCTCCCCTGTTCTTTAAAGGGTGGGCCCAGGTGTCACTGGCACTAGGAGGGTCAGCAGTTCAGGGATGGTGACGATGTGGCTGGGGGCCAGGAGGGGACGGTGGGCTCAGGCGAGTGTGGCCGTGTGGTGCCATGAGGTTTGGGAGACACGGGCTCTCCTCGGGGCTCAGCAGGTGTGTGGCCCTCAGGAGACAAGCTAAGGGCCCCTCACGGGACCTCCCTTTCCTTGGGACCGTGGGTCGAAAGACCCCACAGGGGACTGTATTTAAGAATCCACGATGTGATGAGATGCTCTCTGCCAGACCCTGTGTGTGTCTGTGTGCAGAACCCAACTGTAACCCTGAGACCATCCAGCTGAAACCCAATCAAGGCACCAAACGAGACCCTTTAAACTGTCCCATCAGACCTGGCACCCTGGGGACAAGGCCCAACGGGAGGAGGACGAACTCTCTCTTGCTGGAGAGGCTCCACCCTGTGATACCCTGACGAAGTTGAGGGGCCACGACCTCAGGGTCACAGAGGGAAGGGGTATGTTTTCTTGTAAAACAACGATAACTTTAAAGTAAGTAGCCGCCGGGCACTACCACGTCCTGCCGGGTGGCTCCGGGCTGGAGAGGCCCAAGGGCCGAGCTGGCCACAGCAGCGCCGACCATAATCACAATGTCATCCACACAGAGACTTCATCTTTTACAAGCACATTTTGTCATTACACAATTTTCCAGAAGACTGGCCTGGGGGTCTTCTTCTAAAATTCCAAAGAGTGTGACTTGTCAGCGGGAACATGTCTAAGTGTGTGGCACCTTGCTTTACACACACAAATGGGCCCTTGAAAGAGTTATACGTAAATATAGGTGTGTAATTCACTTCTTCCTTTAATGGGCAAGGAGGGGATTTGAAAACAGAAGTCTTGTATAGCATTTTATCATGTGAGTAATCCTTTCTTATTAATTTTTTTTACAACTTCGGGTTTTTCGATATCAGGTTTTCTTAAAGTGAGGCCACGAGGAAGAGGTTCCATCAGTATTTACTCCCGGGGGTCCCACAGAGGGGCAGCCAACTCAGTCCGAGCAAGACGTTGCTGTTTCTGATGCTCAGCGTGGACTACACGCCACACGATTCTTCAGCCACGGAGCTCTCTGGGGCTACCGCTCCCCAAAACAAACCAAAACCCCACAAACCCCACGGGAGCCTGAGAAGGGACAGAGGAATCCAAATGTAATAGCTGAATTATTTCTAAATGAAGTGCCTCTGGTCTTCTGTGAGTCACCGATGTGTCATTAACGTGCTGCTATAAATAGCTCAGCTTGCCATCAATAACTAATCTATGGGGCGAGAGGCTCACAGCACGTAATTTGGAGTGGATGTGTTACCCCTCTCAGGGAAACAAATGCCATCCCCTGGGACTAGAACCTGAAAGGAACTCATCTGCGTGGTCCTCTTAATGAGTAATGGGAGGGGCCTCTTGCTTTCCCTGCTATACCCTCAAGCCCCGGTGGGAGACACACCTTTGGAGCCGACCACCGAACTGTAGTATTTGCTCTGAGCCTCAGCTCACTCACCTCTGAACCCCGCCTGGCACGTCCATCCCTGAAATCCACAGCGACACTGGGAGGTTCTAGAATTGCTTTGCAGGGGGCCGGCGAGTTGATAAGGCACCGTGTTCGCACAGTTTGCAGGACTGAGGATAAAGGGAAAGCTCTTTCTGGGGGGCTGGAGGGGGATATTAGCTAGAAGAGCTGGAAGAATCCTTATTGTACAAATTAGAAACTCTTTTAGAAAATGTGCTATCGGAAATCAAGTTCCTTGTTTTCGGCCGCTGGCCCTCAGGCACCCGGGCCTGCCTAATGCTAGGAGCTCCGATTTCCACCCAAGAACTCGGGAGTTAAGGCATGTGGAGCCGGCTCTCACGATGATGGCCCAGGCAGCGGGAGCTGAGCCACTGTGAGACCGAGCTGAAGTGCACCCAGGCATGTGGCATGTGCCCTGAGTACCGCCACGGGGACGTGCACACGGCCGGGACTCGGGCGGATCTGCTGGTCGTCACGCTACATGGACCCTGGCCTGCGTGCATTCTATGTGTCCAAACCCCTCAGAGACTAAAACAACCGACGAACAAAAAGTGAAAATGCTATTCTTATTTGCTGAAGCCCTACATGGATTCATGGCTTGTACACGTTACCTTTTCGTAAATTTAGGACTGGTGATGGGAACAGAATAGGCAGCTGTAAACAAAATCACAATGCGGGTTCCCCTAGAAACATGGCGAAGGCCCCACACACCCCAGTGACCGCAGGGTGCAGGGGCGATCTATCCACGCGCCGTGATTAAGGATGCTCCGAGTCATCGCTTTTCCGAAAGAGGTAGGTAGATGGAACCATGGAGAGTCACCACCGGTTAGTGCGCGTCAGCACCGCGGACAGCTCCCAGGGCGCCTGCTCCGGGCAGCGTCCCTGTGCCTGCAGTGTCCTGGGAGATCCTTTCCTTCCAGTGAGTGGACTGATGATCTGATAGTCAACTAATAAATGCACAATAATTAATTGGTAATAACAACTCAGCCTCCCTCTCCCCACCGCCCATTCTCCGCACCACCGGAGGCAGGCCACCCACTCTGCCCCTCAGCCCCCTGCGGGACAGAGGCTCTGTCTCTCTTCCCACGCCTGGCGTGGACGTTTTCACTCCCGAGTCTAACGGGCGGGGCGGCCGCCCTTGCCACAGGCACTGTTTGATCTCGTTTCCACCCCCTGCATCTCACAGGAGAGAAATGGTCAATAGTTCTAATAAAGGAATCATCCCGGTCAGCTCCAAAATACGGCGACTTGCAGGGTGAGCCCCGCAAGTCCGCCAAATCAGGGATTTCTTTATTCCTAAGAGGGAGGGGCTTTTCTTAAGGATCATGGTTCCACCACCCAAGGGGCAGCCCTGCTCCTTGCGAGCAGCCGCAAAGGCTGGCAAACCAAGAGGTCTGCTTTGGCTCAGAAAAACTCAGTCTGGCTCCCGTCGCCCCGGGCCACCTTGCCGCGCATCTCCCCGGCGTGCGCTCCACACACAGTCCAGCCGGGTGGCTTCTACTTAGGGGGGATCACAACCAGAGGCGGCCCCCGCTTGGGCCTCCACATGAGGACCTGGGCATCGTTGGCATTGGGTTTCACGAGTGCGTTGGGGGGGATGGGCTCCATCCGGCTCAGGATCCGGGGCTGCTCCTGCTGAGTCCTGCCCACCAGCCGGGCCCGCTGCCCCAGGAGCTGAAGAGGGTCCACCTCAATGTCCACCCTCATCCTCCACTTAATGGTCTGCAGGATGATCTTCTCCTTCGTGGTAGTGTTCATGGCCACCAGCCAGGTGGTGAAACTTTGGTCCCTCTTGATCCTGGTGAGCAGTGGCACATTGCTGTCACTCACGGGCACTGCCCAGGTCACACTCGGGTAGAAGTTGTCATTCATGCTGACGGAGAACCTGGAGATCTTGTTGGTGGGGCCGACCAGGGTCACGGTCTCTGTGGTGTTCCCGTACCAAGGGTAGCTCACCCCGTCCGAGTCGCTGATGGCTTTTACTCTCCCTTCCCTCAAGTCCGGCAGTTCCCAGCTTGACCTGGCAAAGCAGAAGAGAGGCACAAGAAAAGAACAGGCTGAATGAATCTTTCAAGAGCTGGAGAGGTGCCCGTCACTTCCTAACTCAGACAACCTGGGCAGAATGGGAAGTTCACCGGGGAATTCAGGTCAAAAAGTTTCGTGCTATGCTGTTTCAGGATTAAAGAGGAACAAAGCAAAACAAGAATAAATAGAAAAGCAACACCAAAACAAGTCCCATAAAACCACAGCTGGCCCAGCTGGAAGCAGAAAACTCCGATGGGCCTCTGTGAGACCCACAAAAAGGCACTGGCCCGTTGGGGTGGGGGATCACAGCACAGTGGCTGGACGCACTTCCAGGCTGGAAGTGAGGGTCATTGCTGGCTCTTCCCGTGCCCTCCCCCGGACGCTGCCCCATCTACTGCTTCACCAGGTGTGGTCGACTTTGCCCCATATTCGGCGCATCCAGTGCTGGTCCCCGAACCCCCGACACCATGCTGTTTCTCCCCCCTCCCTTTGCTCACGCCCTGCCCCCTGCCCACACTGCCTTTTCCCCTTCCTCAGAGGAAAGTTCACTCAACCTCTGAGACTCGCTGCAGGTCTCCACCTCCAGGAAGCCCTCTCTCCTGTGCACCTGTGGGGGAGTCAATGGCTTGTTTCTGTGCCTGCCTCCCCGTGAGACCACCATTGCTTTCTGGCCTGGGATTGTGACTTATTTTTGAATCATCGGCGTCTGGCACGTTACCGGCACGTGGTAGATATTCATAAACCTCCATCCAAGGAATGAACTGGTATTTGATTTGAATCATTTTCATGCCTACGCACCCCTGGCTTGGTGGAGCTCATGTGTCTCAAAGCGCTTTACCAGTTTCCCACTCACCTTCAACACTAACATCCACATTCACTGAGGGTCTATTATTAGTCACATCCGAGCACTGAAAGCTATGTATCCTCAGCAGTGGCAGCCACGCCACACGTACAAGTGAGTGACTTGGTTACCAGGGGCTTGGGTGAGAATTAAAGGCGGCTGTGACGGGGAAGTGCTTAGCTCGGTGTGTGGCACAGAGTAAGTGACAGACGTTTTGTGAAGAATGGGGAGGGGGAGGGCAGGGAGAGAAGGAAGCTCAAGCCACGCGCCTCCTCCCACCGCCCCCGTCTCCCTGCCGTGACCAACCCAGGGTCTGCGTTCTGGACAATCAGCACTGACCCCACGCCCAAGGCTAATGGACTCGCCGATGGAGGTAATAATGAAAATATCGATCACTGCAACCTTGCAGCTTCCTGCTTCGCATTTTTCGAAGAGGCAAGTCTCAAACAAGCTCATGCAAAGCATTTCATTCAAGTAAGTGGTCCCTGGGCGAGGTAGTTGCGGGGACCACACAGGGAGAGTGGGGATTCACGGTGGTGCTGCCCCTGGGCGCTGGTGACAGGAGCCCCTGCCCGGCCCTACACCCCAAAGGGACACCCACCTGGTGGGATCTGGGGGCTGAGAAGACCGATGCCCCTCCTTCTGGAGCGCACTCTGGGTAGCTGGGACCTCTGTGTTTTCGCCCAAACGTCCTCAAACTTGCCTCCAGGGCAGCGCAGGCCCTTTCCTGGCCTGTCTTCCTCAGGGCAGTGCCCTCCACCTGGGCACGCACCCAGGGCTGCGGGGTGGCCACGGCAGCCGTGTAAGTGCACTGGGAAGGCAGGAAAGAGGGGGCTCCCCTCTCGCTTCATCTCCACGGCTCACCCCCACCAAGTGCCCCCCGGCATCTGGAAGATTCGGTCAGAGGAGCTCCAGGGCCGAGAAGGGCCCCCCGAGAAGGGCCCAGGTGCCTGCTGGCCGCCTGCTTCGCAGCGTCCTGCCGTGGCAAACGCAGGGGCTGGAAATAAGAGCCCAGGGTGGGAGGTCGAGAGAGGGGAGTGGATGGAGAGAAGCCTTCCTCCAGGGGCAGCTGGGGGCAGGGCTCCGGGCTGGGGGGAGAGGGCTGCGCTAGGAGGTGGGGGCAGGAGGGTCGTGACCCCAGAGGCCCTCGTCACCTGGCCAGCCTCAAAGCCACGCCTCTGGGCAGCCCATCAGCCCACGCAGAGACCAACCCCAGCCCCAGCGCTGGCCCAGGGCCCGGTTCTCAGAGGCTGTGCACCATGATTGCAGAGTAAGTTTTAAAATTAGGTTTTCCTCATCCTGCTCTGTTTATGTCAGACTCCGGGAGCCTGTGGCTGCCAGCCCCCGGGGCCCCCCCGCCGCCCCACCACCCCCTTCCCTTCTGACCGCATCCTCCTCTTTCTGGCATGCGGCCGGGCACTCTTTCCCACAGGGAAAAAGACCGTTTCCAGGGTTTTTAAAGGGCCCTCCCGTTCTCTTTGAACAGGGTCTCTCTAGTGTTGGGGACACTTTCTCAGTACAGAATCACCCTTCGCGGTTCAAGCTCAGGTCCCCTGGAACCCCTGTCCGGATGGGTTGTCAGAGGCCCCTGCTGGCTTGCTCCTACGGGCGGCCCTGAGATCTCGGGTGGGTGACGTCTGAGGGTGGTCTACCTCCAGCTCTATTTCTGAGCCTCCTGGAGGCAAGCGCCTCCCCCCAAAGGGAGCTGCCGGCTGGGGAGCCTCAGACACGGCCCTCACACAGGCCTGTGGGCGCCGGCGCAGATGGGGCCGTGTCCCTGGGGGCCGGCCAGTGGGGGCCTGTGTCAGGCACAACGTGTGGGAGCTCACGGCCCCTCCAAGGTCCCGATGCCTGCATTTGTCTCTTCTCTACCCGTACGGACACCGCTGGTCCCCGGGCACCTGTCCTCTCTCCAGGGCCCCGAATGGTCTCCTGGCTGGGCCCCACAAGCTGCACACGTCGTGTGTGGGGACATCAGCTGCATCATGCATGGCCTGTCCAGAACCCCACGCTGGCCTCTGAGCACATACGCCAGCATGGCGTGTGGCTGGGTCCCCCGCGGCGCCCCGTGTGTCTCCGTGGCCCTGACCTTCCTGTCCTGGAGCAAGACCGGCCCCTTCCCACCTCTGGTGTGTCGCTGCAGGGGGACAACGGGGGTCCCTGCTTCTGCCTGTCCCAAGGACACGGCCAGTGTCCCAGTGCCCACCGCCCCCCTTCGTAAAGGAAGGAACTGAGCCACAGGGAAGCTGTGATGCCAGGGTCAGGCGGCCGGGCCACTGGGGCCCGGGCGTCACCTCACGCAGCGGCCTCCTCGGCCCATGGAAGCCCTGGGAGCTCCGGGGATGGAGCGTGCTCCGTGCTCCCGGCTCTGTGCCAGGTACGTCTTCGTCACTGTCCTTGGAAGGGGGCTTCCTGAGCCTTGATGTACAGATACAGCCACTCAGGTTGAGAGGAGTCGAGTCTCTGCTGGTGGGGGGGCGAGGGTGGCCATCAGGCCCGGGTGGGACTCACACCCTCGTCCCTGGACTGGGCGCTTCCCCGGAGACTGCGTTTTCCATTGTAAGTTTCATTGTTTGTGGGTACCCTCCACACCGCCTTGTGAATTGATTGATTCCTTTAACACATAATGTTCGAAGTCCTTGGGGCGGCGGGGGCGGAGACACACAGCCGGCTGTGCTGGGACCTCTGGGTGGGGGGTGATGACTTCGGTGCCGCGGCGAGCCGGGCAGTGGCACGCAGGCTGAGGCCGGCAGAGGGCCCTTGCCCCTGAGCTGTTCACTCCTTGGATGGCGTTACCGGCCACAGGGCTGCTTCCCGCTTTCCTCCAGAGAGCCCTAGCACCCGCCGTGCCGGAAGGGCAGCTCGGAAGTTGGCCCCCCGCGGGAAGTCTGGGCCGCGGCTGCGCTGAGCCGGTTCCGGGCCAGCTGTCGGCCCTCTGCATCAAACACCCAGGGCCTGGCCGCTGCCCCGGACGTGCCACCTCTGTTCTGATGATCATGGTGTCCGGCTGGGCACCCGCAGGGAGCTGCCCAGCAGCAAGGCCTCCGGAAACTCCTGCTCTTTAGATGTCTGACTGAAACCAGCAGCTTAAGGGCTCCCGGCTGCGCGGGCCCCCGAAGCTGGGTGGCGGCTGCACGGGTCCAGGAGGAGCACTCTCGGTGCGCTGCGTCCCCCGTCCCCCCCCTCCCCACGGAGGGGGTGTCCTCTCTCCTGCGGACCCTGCCGAAGCACTGGGCTCTAAGTCAGGTCCTCTGCGTCCAGCTTGTCACTCAGCTGTCGGAGTGGCCAGGTGGACACACGGTCCCCGCGGGGTTGCTGTGCTGCCTCCGTGAGCTGTTCCATCCCATGAGCCTCTGTGGGGGGGGGGGGCTCTTGGTCCCCTCCACCTGGCTCTTGGACAGCTGCGGGGCTGTGTCCCACAGGCTCACTCAGTAACCCTCACAGGCACCCGGTGAGGCCGGAGCCCACGCTGTCCCCACTTTAAGCCGAGGGTAACGCGGGACCTGAGCGCAGGCCTGCTGACTCCTGAGCGGAGTCCTGGCGAAGGGCGAGGGGAGGAGGCGGTGTGGCTGGGCCTCTGGGGCGGTGAGGGCCGGGAGGAAGCGGGGGAGGTGCTGCGGTCTCACCTGGACGCAAAGTCGGGCCAAGAGCTAGGGTGGCTGGGGGCCTTGGCCACTGCCCCTGGGTGGTGCAGGGGATGGGTCTCAGCCTCATCTTTTGTGCCTCCTGCCCCCTCCCGTTGCCGTGGAGACACCTGAGTGGTGCCCAAATGACTGGGAACAGAGCCTGGCCCGACTCCGGCTTTAGCCCCACGATTTGCAAGCTCCTCTCCAAACCGCTCCCTTGTGTCCCCTCGGGAAGAAGACAGGAGCCCCCCCTTTGTCACACCAGGACGGCAATGCTCAGGGAGGCTGAGTGAGTTCCCAAGGCCCAGTGGTCAGTGCTTGATGGGGTGAGGGGGTCTGGAACCCCTGCGCACACCCGCTCTTCCTGCCCTTGCGAGGCAGGCCGGCCGGAGAAGGCGGGACCCTGTGGTTACCACGAGGAGCTAGCCGGTCTCTGAGAGACAGACAGGGTGGAGCCTTCTGTATCCCGAGTCTATTTCTTTCAAGAATTTTCCAGAACTTGGCTTTCTGGGGGAAGGCTCTGTCCAA